CATGGGGATGGGGAGGATGGGGAGCCAGCACACGGGGATGTGGAGGATGGGGAGCCAGAACATGGGAATGGGGAGGATGAGGAGCTAGCGCATGGGGATGGGGAGGATATGGAGCCAGTACATGGGGATGGGGAGGATGGGCAGCTATCCTTCAGATGAGGAGGTGCTGCTCCACTCCCTGCCTCTCAGAGAAGGGAACAAATTTACTGACAGACAGAAGCTGCCATCAGCTCAGCATTCTGCCAGATACCTGACAAAGTTTGGGTGTTTTCATGATATCTTGACTGGGGAGATATACCTCACTTGGACAACTGAGATTAAGATTGAATCAGAATGATCTGGCCACTGCTCATCTGCATTTGAAGCATAAGAGGTAACTAGACCCTGCCTACCATATCATTGTATCTAAGGGTGCAGCTCTCCTCCTCTCCGCAGGAACGACTGTTGTTTAGGTTCTCAATTGCATTTTAAGCAGGAGTCACTGTCCAGTGCAATCACTCAGACCAGCCATAAACACACTAGTAGTTTCTGGTTTTGCAAAAGTGTCTCGCTGTGCAGCCTACGCTGGCCTGCCAATCACTGTTTAGTGCAGGCTGCCTTGAAGTTGTGCCAGTGTTCCTACTTCAGACTCCAAGTTGCTAGGATTGTGGAAATATTTTTCCCTTCTAGAAAAATCAGCCAACCACACCCTCACTAGGAAGCACACTCCTATTGAGATACTTTTGCCTCTTGGATCTTCATGGACAACTAACCCAAGTATTTCAAGCATATGACCTTTTGGTTTTAGATAATAGCAGCTTCATAAATGTGAGAACTCCTTTGGTTCTTGCTAATCCTGAGTGCCAGTCTGTCATCTTTAAGATTCCCTCAACATCTATTCTGGGTGCCTAAAATACTTAACATGAACGATACACAGATACTTGGTTCATTTGTGATCAGTCTGCTACTTACAGATTTTATGATGGCTACTGTGTAGTTTGTAGTTTAAAACATTTATTGCACTTATTTGTGCATGCGTGTGTGCGTGCGCACACACACATACATGCAAGCACAGGCGCAGGAGGCGCTCAGAAGACAACCTGTTGTTTGCTTTTTCCTTCCACTATGTCGGTCCTGGGGACCAAACTCAGGTCATCAGGCTTGACAGCCGGAGCTTTGACTGCCCAAGCCATCTTGTCAGTCCCATGGAGTTTGTAACTTAAAAAATGTTTTCATTGCCTTTAATCTATCCCTTTATCAGAGATACTAAATAGAAGAAAAGGAGATGTACTAAGAGAGGAGAAGGTAAAGGATGACGAAAGCAGGAGACCCCTCAACCTGCAACTAACATTTATTTTAGACACGACTTTTGGTTTTGATTTCTAAAATCAATCCATACTTTTTGTCCAAAATGGAAAAAGACAAATAGCTGGTGGCATCTTTTTAAAATACCCCCAAGCACTATATTTTATTTTGACACCATTGGAGATTAAATATTTCTTAAGATGAATGTTTAAAGGGTTGACATATTTATGTTCAAAATTGTGATTGCTTGCACACATACTCACAAGCACATACAGGCCCAAACACCTGCCATCTTCATAATTTTGAAGCCTTACTCAGTTTTGTCCAGGCTAAAACGAATCCTAGAGATGACTTCTGTGCACTGGGTTGTGGCACCTGTGGGCGCTGGCTGTGACAAAGCTGAT